CCAAAAAAAAAAAAAAAAAAAATCACTAAGGATAGAAATCTCTTATCTTCAACCTCTGCCTTGGTTGGGATGGTTACACGTGTGTAGACATTGGTCATGACCCCTCAAACCACACACTTAAAGTCTGTGCATTTATTATGTCAAGTATGCCTCAATTTTAAACTAGCAGGACAAAACCAGTCACCGTGGAGCAGGGCTGCTTCACATCCATACACTTCTGGAGCAGAAGCCTTCCCCAACCGTGCCTGTTTCCCCTCCATCCCAACTTCAGGAAGCACCCTTGTTCTGAACAGGATTTCAGGTAACTTAGGAAACTGCTCTCAATACAGTATTTTAAAGTTGAAGAAATTGACAGGAAAGGAAATCAGTGGGAATATCGAGGTAGTAATGGGGTAAGTTAGCACACAACACAACCAAAGTGGGGGCAGAGCAGGGGCCTTGTGGCCACAGGCCGTCACAGGACTGTGTGTCCCTTTCGGGCTCCAGGCACAGAATCACAGTACCTTGGGGACGAGCAGCCCAGCCTTCTCTGTCCTCCCCCGACAGGTGTCTGGGGTGCAGGGATTCTGGCCCCCAAGCTCTCCGGAGTTGGAAGTTCACTGGGCCCCTGGGTGGGCATGGCAGGGGCAGTACTGGCAGGAGTGGGGTTTTCCTTAGACAAGGTTCATGGAATGAAGGAAGTGAACAAACGAACCAAGGTGCTTTGCCCCAGACATGTGGGCCTTGCCCCAGGCAGAGCCATTGCCTTTGAGAAGCCATCAAGGCCACCTGCCAACAGCCAAGAACTGAGTCTCCTGGCTGACTCTGGCCCTCCCCAGGCCTCCCTGCTCATCGCCAGGCTAACAGTGGTGACAGGGTGCTGGAGGGCCCAGGGGAGTGATAAGGCCAGTGCTGAGGCCCGCCAGCCCGGCCCGCCCTCACTCGGCCGGCAGCAGCGGCCAGATAACCCTGAGGCTTCTCCGCCCTGCACTGTTGCTCTGGGTTCTCTGCTCCCACGGACGCCTGGGGTGCCCTGAGCCAGGCGTCCCCAGTGGGACTCAGTGGGAGCTGTGCCAGGAATCAGGCCCCGCTCTGCTGCCACAAGGCTTCCTCAGCCTTCCCTGTGGCTCCCTGTCCCACCCAGCGGCGGCCAGGACACCCGGGGCTGACGCCCCCCACTGCCATCCTGCCCTGCACCCCTCTAAGCTATGAGGCTGTGCTCCGGGGCTGGACCCCCTGCTGTGGTGCCCACAACTACTCCTGCCTGGATCCTGCCCTGCGTGCCAGGACCAGCCCAGGGGCTACCTCCTGCTCCCCGGACAATGGGTTCTGTGGGGTCCCCACCAGGGAGCCTCCCCCAACCTTGCATCGCCCCATCCCCAGCCCAGGGGGCTCAAAGGAGTTCATCACCAAAGGGGCAGCTGTAGGTCTAGCAGGGAAGCGGATGGGGGCCTAGCTCTGGGCCTTGGGCCAGGAGGGCTGACCCCCACAGAGGACAGAGCTGGGACCTGGGACACATGAGGGGAAGTCCGCACGCCCAGGTCCCCCGTCAGGTGCCCAGGTTCTTTCCAGGCAGAAGCTGCTTGGGCACGAGGGCGCCAAGAGTTCCCAACATCTCCCTAAGCCCAAAGCCCAGAAGCCACGGAGACCTGTTGCTCTGGTCTGCCCTTTCCACCTCCTCCAAAGGAATGCACCCTCCTCCAGCAACGCATCCCCGGTTAAGAACCAGGGGACTCCTGATGTCCCAAGTTTTAAGCTAGAGATGCTAGTATCCACTGCCACCAAGTGTCAAGGTTCAGAAAGGCTATTTAACTGGGCCAGGACACACAGCAGGAGGGGAGAAGCCCTCGCTCCCACCCAGAACCTAGGATCAGCACCGGGCCGTATACCCCTCCATCCCCCCCCCTCCTCCCCACCAGGGCTGTGTGCCCACCCACCCCACGCTCCCCAGCAACGGGGGTCACAGCCTTTCCAGGGCAGGTAGGGAGCTTGGAGATGCTCCAAAACCCCTTTGTAAACAGTTGGGGACACTGAAGCCCAAGGCAGGGGTTTATCCAAGGTCACCCTCAGAGTGGGTGGCAGGTGCAGACCAGAACCAGGCCCCCTGGCAGAGCTTCCCGCTGCCCAGGCCCCTTCCACAGCCCCCCTCTGACAGCCCACCACCCTGGACTCTGCCACCACCACCCAAAACCCCTTCGGCCCCCAGGCATGCCCCCCTCGGGGACACTGGGGGCAGAGTGGGCGGTGGGTGCCCCCAGCCAGGCGGTCACTGTTCATCGGGCAGATCGTTAGCCCTCTGCTCCTGGCAGAACATCGTGGCCCTCCAGCCCATGCCGGCACAGGTTGAATTTCACGGCCCAGCAGAATTCCCGGGCAGGATAGCCTGGCCATTCCTGATCCCAAGGCTCCTCGGGGCACGGACCCAGCTTCTCAGCCAGGGTCCCTCTGTCCTGAAGGGTCAACCAGTCTCCATCTTCAAACCCTTCCTGCAGAAACCAGGTCTACTGGCAGAGGCTGGAGGGCCCGCCCACAGGGTGACGCAGCCACCCCCGTCAGGAGCCCCAGGATTAGGTACCTGCTAGTCGCCAGAGAGGAGAGCCAAAGGGGCGACTGCGACAAGTCCAGGCCTGGGCTTCTGTGGGGAGGGGGTGGTCCCAGTGACAGCCAAGGAGGAGGCAGGTGGCCAGTACAGCACGGAGGCAAACAGGAGGCACAGCCTGGGTCCTGCCCTCCAGAGCCCGGGACCTGAGGCCCAGCCCCACAGGGGAGTGGTTGAGGCCCCACCTGCTGACCGGGCAGAGAACCTCCACCCAGCACCCACGGGCGGTTCCCTCGGCCTCCAGGCCTTTGCACACGCCGTCCCCCTGCCTGGACACGTCAGTCCACCCCCCTGCACCTGCCCAGCTCAGCTGTCTCTCCCTCTGGGACACCTTCCCAGAGGCTCTAAATCAAGATGGGAGGCCGCTCCTCAGGGTCTGGGTAGTGAGCTGAGGGCAGGGCCCGGCTCTCAGGCGTTGCCTGACCCCGTAGCCCAGCTCCACGCAGGGAGGTGGGGAGCTGAGCACGGCCGGATCCAAAAGACCTGCAGGTCCGGGTCCGCCTGCCCGTCCTGGCCCAGCCCCCAAAGCACGCTACAGACAAAGCAGAGATTCTGCTGTCCAGAGAACAATATATGTAAAGTGCCGGGTACAACGCTCTGAAAAATAGTATTCTCCAAAAATCCAGCACCCGGGGTGCCCCCGCGGTCTAGCCCTTGCCCGTGAGGTCCAGCGGCTGTAGGAAGGGCAGCAGCGGCAGCTCGTCCAGCGCCTCGGGGAAGCGGCCGGGCGAGATGGTGGTGACCAGCACCTGCATGGCACGCGCGAAGAACGAGGGTGGCGCCAGGCCCGCCAGCCACTGGAACTTGTCCTCGCCCAGCAGCCGTTGCCAGCGCGGCCGGTCGCCCAGCAGCTCGCGGCGGGCCGGGCTGGCGGCGTCTGCGGGCGTGTACAGCGCCAGTAAGTCCAGCAGCAACAGGCGGCGCTGGCGCGGCTCCCCGGGCGCAGGCGCCCCGACGGTGGGGGCGGCCCCGGCATCACGGCCCAGCTGACGCAGCAGCAGCTCGAGCGGCGTGAGGCCGCCGCCGTCGCGCAGGCCGGGCGAGGCGCCGTGGCCGAGCAGCAGGAAGAGGCACTCGGGGCGCGCCAGCTCGCAGGCCACGTGCAGCGACGTGCCGCCGCCCTCCACGCGGCTACAGCCTCGCCGGTCGAGCAGGCGTGCGCGCTCCTCGGCCGGGAAGTCGCGCACTGTGCGCAGGATGCGGCGCAGGATGCCCACGCGGTTGTAGCGCACGGCCAGCGCCACGTGCGGCCCGGGTGCCGCGCAGCAGCGGAAGCCGGCGCTGGGCGGCGCGAGCGCGCACCGCGGGAACGTGGCCAGCAGGTAGTGCGCATACGCCTGGTGGTCGTGCACGAGGGCGTAGAGCAGCGCCTCCGAAGGCGAGTAGGCGGCGGCGCGCCCACGCTCGTCCCAGTGGAAGGCCTCGCTGGCGCGCATGTCCTCTAGCAGCCACACGGGCAGCAGGTCGCGAACGGCCTGGTAGAAAGCGAACGACGACTTGCGGCACTGCTTCTGCGCCCGTGAGCGCGCTGCGCCCGCGCCCTCAGGCCCGCCGTCCGCGCCGCCCCCAGGCCGCCGCGCGTCCCACGGCATGCTGGCGGCGCCTCCCGGTCTCACGGCATGGGCCTGGGGCCGACCACCTGCGGGCAGAGGGAAGCGCAGTGAGGGGTGAGGGTTGAGGGTTGAGGGTTGAAGGTTGAGGATCCGGGCGGAGAGGGGTCTCCCGTCCAATCCTCACACAGCCCCACCTGTCCGGGCCTCTCTCGTACCTGCCCCCAGCCTCCGACCGGCCCTCCCAGTCACTCCTCACAGCTTCCCTTCTCTCCTAGGCCCTGAACCACCTCCCACATCCTTGATCTAGCTGCGCCTAGGTCGCCCTCCCCAAAACTGTCTTGTTCTCCGGTACCTCTGCTAAAGATGCCCTTCCCTGTCCCTGTCCTCACAGCCCCAGCTACCGTCAAGGCCACCCAGAAACCCCACACCCCGTCCAGCCCAGGGACCCACTGGAAGAGTTCCTGCTCCCACCTGTGGTAGCTGCATCCAACTCCAATCAAGGGAAAAGCCAGGTAGGGGACTAGGAAAGCTGCATCCCACATCTCAAGCTGAGCCAAATCTTTTCTGTAGCCCAAGCTCCCTATCCCCAGCCCCATCTAGCCTTGACCCTGTCGTCTGACCCCCGACTGCGGTCGCGGTCCCTACCCCAGGCCAGGCAGGGTCAGAGCTCTAGACTCAGACCTACCTGGCTAGCGCACCGCGATTACCTAGTTCTGTGTAGGCGGGTGTATTACTGTTGCCTGAGCCTCAGCTTCCTCATCTGTAAGAAAGAGGGAAGGCAGTCTGTGAGCCATAGCAGGAAGTGGGGGCCTCTAGCCTTCCACCCAAACATGCTGTTTACTGGATGTCACCGCCCCTAGCTCCTGGGAGGAGGCAAGAGGATGAACTCAACCTAGAAACTGGCGTGTACACTCTTCACAGTCTGTAAATCCCTCCAGGTCTGCTAGTTCCCTGAGTCTTCCCAACGACTAGAAAAAGCAGGTACTGTCATCCCATTTTCCAGTAAGGGACAAACTTGTCCAAGGTCAGTCGGCAAGTCATGGTAGAGACAGGCCTGGAACCCAGATCTCTTAACTCCTATATCGGGCTCATTCCAGAAGTGGGGGGGGGGGGACCCCCAACCCACAGGGAGCCCAGCTTGAGCCCTAACCTTGCCCTCTGAGCCCCCTGCGCCAACCTGAGCCCTGACCTCCAACCCCTGGCCCTGGCCCAAGCTCCCCACTGCGTTTTCTCAAGGGTAAGCCCTTGGTCACAAGGGACCTGGGTCAGCGGATAAGCTGCGTCCACACACACTGGGTAACTAAGTTACAGAGAAGGGCACAGGGGTTGGGGGCTGGAGCCACAGCACCCTTTTGGGGACACCGTAACTGGAGCACCCCCCCCACACCTGGGTCTCCGCGCCCCGGTTGTACCCTGTGTGGACACTGGGAGCGGGGCAGGTTACGTAAAGTTGAGCCGCCCCACGTCACCGGGCAGCGAGTCACGGTCGCGGCTCAGTGAATAGGGGGTTGGGCCACCGAGGGCAAGGCCGCGCGCCCAGGGCCGCCCTCCAGTTCCTCCCCGCCCCCTACTGGCGGCACGGCCGGACCCCGGGTGGCCGCGGGTCGCGGGTCGAGGCCAGAGTGTCTGCGGGCGGGTAGCCGGCGCAGCGAAGGCTGCACCTGCGTGCGCGTGTGTCTGGGGGGGATGAGGGGGGCGGCGGCTACACGCCGAGCCGGCCGAGGAAGGGGGACTCACCGTGGGGTTCGGAGGGGCCGCTGGCCTGGCGTCCCCGCCCCCGCTGCGGGCCGGAAAGCTTGCTGGCCCCCCGCGGGTCGGCGCGCAGGCGAAGCTCCCAGGACAGACGGACGGGAGGGTGCCGCCGCCGCCC